CCCCAAAACCCCAAAACCCCAAAACCCCACACTATAAAAAATATAGAAAATTATATAATTAATATTTAAAATGAAGCAAATCTTCATACTGTTGTTGTCTATCATGGCTGTTACAGCCAATGTGTGTCCAAATGGTCCCCAAACCGCTGGATCACCTCTCTCTAGAAGTTTCGGAATGACAGGATTTAATGATGTTATCTTTTTCGATATTTTGGAAGACCAGGATAACGAATTACTCTATTTTGTTGGATATTTTCATAAATCCCCTCAACTTGGAACAACCCTCTACAAGTCTGACCCTGAGCTGACCAAACTCAGAGTGATGACTTATGATATTTACTGCCTCCAACGTTCCTACGCCATGTCTCTAAACAATGATTCCATCTACGTTCTAGACAGAGTAATAAATAAAATCATTGAGATCCAGACTTCAGATTTGACGTTCTCCAGAGAGTTGGCAATTATAACTAGTCCTGCTTCGGTTGGTGAAAATTCAAATATGGAAATAAGTAAAGGGTTTTATTTTAGTCTCAGAATTAGCTCAATAATGCAGACTTGTAGATGGGATAATGCAACTACTAATATCGACTGATTTACTTTTGGAGTTGATAGTCCAACTAATTTTGCTCCGATTAGCTCTGAATTGTTGTTCTTTGGATCCATTGACACAGCGGCTGACCAATACTACCTGGTGAATTACAACTTCTCCTCCTCTAGCCTGGTCTGGAAGAAGAGCATTGGATGTCCAGGTTCAAGTTGAATAAGCAAGGTCAGCAATTCTCTTATGAGTAGAGATGAAGAGTGGATTTACACAATGATACTTTTTGATGAAAATTTCATTTTTGAAAAAAGATAAGTGTGGTTGATGGAAGTCCACAACTCTCTGGGCTAGTTTGGAACGATAGTGAATACTCAACCAGTTACTGAATGAAAGAGTTTACTAATTTTATCGCCATCCAAATTTTAACTTACTCATCACCAAATATTAAAAGGTTAATTTTAGTAAACTCCTCGATGACTCAAATTGTGAATGAATACCAATCTGTAGACTCTAGAGCTTATGCGGTTGGAAGGCTTTTGTACAAAGATGAGGAACTGATGTATCATTCCGGAATAATAGACACTAACAAAACATTTTTCCTTGCGAGATCACCTATAAACAACATTGATCAGCTTCATGAGTTTCAAGAGGATACTCCTTTCTTCAGCCCAATTACAGCAAACTATCAGGTGTCATCAACTACATCAATTCCAAGTATAAGTAATAGCATAAAGACTCTCTCTATCACTACCTCATCATCCATAACGGTTACTGATATCACTTCAACGACCAGCCCTTCATTAACTACGTACGTGGCTTTGTGGAACCAAGACCACATTCAATCTGTCCAGAGCAACACATCAGCACAACTGGACTTTACTTGGGCTTGAGCTCCATCAAGTAATTACACTGAAATCAGTTTCAATCTGGCTCAGACCGGGCCCAATCCAATCCCAGATTGGGTGAAACTGGATGCAGACAATCAAGAGTTGCATCTTAATATCACTCCAAAACTGGATGCAAAACAAGTCTTTTTCTTTTCTCTCCAAATCTCATTCGACAGTGAAGTGCATTATAAAAAGTTTGAAATCACTGTGGAAGAGTGAAAAATCAAGCATTGCGAGCTCTGAAAACTAGGAAATTCTAATATTTGAGAAACTTGAGCAGATGGATATCAAAGCTCGTCTGAACAGGAATCGTGCTCTAAAATAGCTGCCATGACTGGAGCAACTAAAGCTACGGCTGCTATGGTGACATCAAGCGTCATACTTGCAAGTGCTTCGTCAGTGTTGTCATTGTCATCTATCAACTCAATATTTAGTATTATGAATAGTATGCAGCTAGCAACACTATTGCCTCTAATCCCTGAATACTTTTCACCAAAAGTTCTAGATTTCTTGAGCGGAATGGGATTTACAATGCTATCATTCGATTTCATAAAGTTCAAGGATCTTCCATTTGTAGAAGATCTCACAAATTGGGTGTCATATCCCCAATCAGACGAGTACCTCAACAGTCTTGGAATGAGGTCTGGGAGCTCTGTTGTGAACTATTTGTCACTCATGGTCATTCTGATTCTTATTGGGGTCTTTCATTTCGGAATATATCTGTGAAGTATGTGAGCACAAAACTCGAAAAGCAAAAGATGCAAGAGATTTTTCAAGAAGTTGTTCAGATTCTGCACATTTAATGTATACATAAGAATATTCATGCAAGCATTTGCATTTACAACACTGTCAATATTCTCTGAGCTCTACAACATCAACTTAGCTACAACTGTGACCAAAATATCCTTAGGACTGTGAGTAATATTCGCTATATGCACAAGTGTGCTATTTATTTTGTCCTTTTACATGTACTGAAAATCATTCCCACAAATTGATCAAGAAAAGTATTGGCCATGAGTTGAATACTTTAATGGAGTTAAGCCAACTAAATGCTCCAAACTCTATTCTAGTCTGTTTATGCTGATGAGATTATTGATGACGTCATTACTTATATTTGGCCAAACTGCCCTTTCGCATGAAAAAGCCATCTACTTTTACTTGCTAAACATTGCTTACTGAATTTACTTGATAATTGTCAGACCATTCGAGAACCCACAGGACAATATCATTGAGATTATTAATCAAACACTGTTTTGATGTCTGGCAGTCCCGTTATCATGGCTTAATACAAAACAAGCCTGGACCCCATTCTATGAAAGCTATTACACAACAATACTCATGGTGTCTCCAGCTATTGGAAGCTTAATATGCCTTGGTTTTTTGATTAAATCAATAGTGGTATATATAAAAAACAGGAAAGCCAAGAAAAAAAAGCAAAATGTAGCTCCCAAAGAGCGTTCCTCTCGTAATAGAGCACCCCAGAACCAAGAATATCCTCGGCCAAGGCCCTCCCCTTACATCAACAACCAGACCTCTAGCATGAGCAGAAGCAATGCTTTAATTGTACCTCCTCGCGCTACTCAAAGAAGACCTTATGACAGATATCATCCTGGCAGAATTCCAATGAGAAGGAAACTGAATTAACACAGATAATTATTTTAACAATCTCTCAACTGTGAATTTACCCCTGGGGTTTTGGGGTTTTGGGGTTTTGGGGTTTTGGGGTTTTGGGG